GGGGTGAGTGCGCTGTGCACGGTGACACGTCCACTGTCACTGTGGTGCCCTAGGAAGGTGGGAGGATTTAGAAAAAGAAGGCAGAAGTAGGAGATTGAGGTCACATCGTGAATATCCTTGGATACCATATTAAGATCAAGACATTTTAGAAGATGGTCCCACCTTCTAGGACTGATTCTGAGATTCAAAAGATAATGATCTATTATTGCTGAGGCAATCCCCCATAAAAACATTCCTTGGAAAATCTGAACAACATGAGCAAAAACTCACTACCATCGTTCAAGAAGAGAAAAAGAAAGACAGTGAAGAGCTGTAGGCATAAGCATGACTGGCCCAGTGCGCCTTGCTTTTTTTTGTAAAATGTGACTAAGAGTTCTTGGTTCAAATCCACATTGCTTTCGCAGGCCCATTGAGGCGAGACAACTCTTCAATGTTCAGGAAAACGCCATGTGTTGCAAGGTTCATTTCAACATCGTGCAGCTTTCAGAGCTCTGTACCTGCCCCCCAATCCCACCCCCAGCCCCCAGCACGTTGATTTTTTTCTTGGCACGTGTCAGCATGTCCTTCAGTTGAGCTGCAGACAGGAACCTTTTGTCTATGAGCTGCGCCCAGCATGCTTCAGCATCTTAAAAGCACGGGGACAGTTCAGGCCGTCCCTAGTGAATGGAAAAAGCTAAATGCAGAATTTCAGCAGCAGTTGCCTCAAGGGAGAAAGAGCGTGACTTCCGGGAATTGGCGGGAGGGGACGCGAGTCTCAGTTACCAGCTGTAACTTTTAGGCAAGTTACTTGGACCTTTTGAGCGTCCACTTTTTATCTGTGAAAGATATCTGACACGAGATGCTGCTGAGATGAAATACATGCACACGGTTTCTGGTATACAGCAGGCATTCTATAAATGCATGTCCCTCGTCCTCATCCCTTCGTTAATGATGCAAGGTCCCTGGACGTCTTCTGTGAGTCTGGGGCAGCCAGCGGTCCCTTGGAGCGAGGGAGCACGGGCCAGGGCACGCAGAATCTCTAGAAACCACGTGGGCTGTAGTGCATCACTGTGCCAGTAAAATGTCATCATCTATTAAGAGAATTTTTTCTGAGTTTAAGCATTTCTAAATGCCTTTCCTGGATTGAGAAAACAAACGGTGTAAAAGTCAAGCGTCCGAAGACCGTTCTCTGTGTGTGAAGGCATCTCTCCTGTCCTGTCCAGATTTCCACGCTCTGTGACCGGACTTGCGTGCCCAGCTGCCAGCTGCACCAGCCAGACCCCGACGTAACTGGAGTTTGGGCCCAGTTTTTTTTTTCTCCCCACTCCAGAGCCTCCAAACTCTATTTCAAGCACACGCACGTACCGAGTGCAGATGTGGGATGAAAACCAGGCCCTTGGGGACAGCGAGGTAGGCTGTGACACTTAACTGTGGGGAGGCCGCAAGTGGCCTGTCTGCAGTGGCCTCGCCCAGGCATGGCCGGAGCCCAGACCTCCAGAGTGGTTTTGGCCTTTGGGGATGGATGGCATTAGCAGTCACATGGGGCAGTCACCACCACTCCCGTTTGGGGCCCAAGCATTGCATGATCTGTGATCAGACAGGCTCTGAAGGTTTTGTCCTGACAATTAGCTCCCTGAAGAAGCCGAGGGTCAGAACCGGGCCCCGAGGAGAGGGAAGTGGGACTGCTTGTGCCCAGCACAAAGGGACTGTTCTGGCCAAGGAAACAGCCACTTGGGAATGTATTTCTAACATGTATACAACCCAGGGGTGAGGTTACTGGGCTGTTTACTTCATCCAGCAAAAGCTATTCCAGCTCTGTAGACCCTTCAACTGAGACCTTCCTTTTGGATGACTAATAAATAATTTATTCATCCATTCGACAAATATTTATTGAGAACCTACCACATAACAGGTGCTATCATAGGTACTACGGATAACAGTGGCAAACGACACCGAAAGTCTCTGAGCTCATGAAACTTAGATTTTAGGGAGAAAAACTGATAATAAATAATATCAAGAATGAAAATATGAATTATAACCTATAGTGAAAATGCTAAGGAACAGAAATAAAGCAAGAATGGGTGCTGAAAGTCCAGGTGGGTGGCCGGGGACGTCTCCACTGAGATGCTGACTCGAATAGAGACCTGGCGATGGTTGGATGGATATAGACCGAGACTGAAAATATTAATATTTCCCTCCAGAGTTTCAGAGGTGTTGCTCCTCATCTTTTGGTTTCTGGGCTTGCTACTGAGAAAGCGAATGTTCTGCTGATGCTCAATGTGAAATTTTAGCCCCTTCTGGGAGCTTTCGGGACCTTCTGTTTTCTAGAACGTTTCATTGACAAGCTCGAGTGTGTCGAGCATTTCATAAACCTTTTTACTCTGCAGTCTCACGTCCCCCAGTTTGGGGGGAGCGGAGAGAATATTCTTAATCCTTATAATATTTTTGGGGGGAAGCTTCTCTGTTTTTTCTGATCTCTTTTACCCAAATCTCCATTACTAGGAGTCTGGATGCTCTAACGTCATTCTCTATTTTTCTTATTTCTTTTCTCTCTCTCTTTCTCTTCCTACTTTCTGAGATTTCATCAACTTTTGCTTCTTCAGTGAATTTTTGTTTTTTTGAGACAGAGTCTCACTTTGTTGGCCAGGCTAGAGTGAGTGCCGTGGCGTCCGCCTAGCTCACAGCAACCTCAAACTCCTGGGCTCAGGGATCCTGCTGCCTCAGCCTCCTGAGTAGCTGGGACTACAGGCATGTGCCACCATGCCCGGCTAATTTTTTCTATATATATTAGTTGGCCAATTAATTTCTTTCTATTTATAGTAGAGACGGGGTCTCCCTCATTGCTCAGGGTGGTGTCGAACTCCTGACCTCGAGCAATCCGTCCGCCTCGGCCTCCTAGAGTCTTCAGTGAATTTTTAAATTCTGGTCTCATGGTTCCCAGAGCTGGCTCTTGTTCCCCAAATGTTCCCCCTTCCCTGGACCCTCTCGTCTCTTCTGAATTTCTGTTTCCCACTTATTTGGGTGTTTTCTCTCACACCGGAGGCTTTTATAAAACATCTGTGAATCCTTGGGAGTGTGTTCATGGACCATCGAGGCACGATCGTACTAGCCAAAAGCTTTTCTACATGATTGGGGTGCTTCCCCGTGGGGTGGCCGGACAGAACCTGTCATTCCCCTCAAAATCTGTTGGCCTCTCCTTCTTGGCCAGTCAGCTTCCCTAGCGGGACCCCCAGTGCCCTGATGGAGGGTCAGCCCCCTCGCCTGCGCTATGTCCACACCCAACCCCTCCTCTCTGCCTGGTCAGCCAGAATCCGGTGTGTTCGATGTGGGCTCTTCTGTGTCCCCCTGTGGATGCTACGAGGGACACTTGGCTGAGCGGGGTGGAAAGGGAGCGATGGGCATCTCGCTGCACTGCTTAAAAAAAGAAAAGTTCACTCCAGCCTCATGCTTTGAGCTCACTGCATTCCTACCTTCACAAGGATCTGTTGCCTCATTTCCTGAGCTTCCCTGGCCCTGCACGTTTGTTTGATTTTAAGACAGAGTCTCACTCTGTCGCCCGAGGTAGAGTACAGTGGTGTCACCACAGCTCAACCTCCTGGGCTCAAGCAATCCTCCTGCCTCAGCCTTCGAAGTAGCTTAGACTACAGGCATGCGCCACCATGCCCGGCTAATTTTTTCTATTTTTGGTAAATCATGGGGTCTCCCTCTTGCTCAGGGTGTGTGTTTTATGTTGAGTTCTTCTCTTGAAAGTTTAGGTGTCAGCTTCCTCTCTTCTGTTATTGCTTCCTCTCTCATGCCTTTAACTCTTTGATGTGTGCTTTTGTTATTCCTTATTGTCATCTTTAACCAGAATTCATTCTATTGTCTTTTGAGCCTCTCTCGCCAAAGCTTACCCTGGTGGTGGTAATTCACCTTCGGCAGATCCTCATAAAAAGTCGGATTCAAATTCAATGTCAGGATTGCAGTACCCTATTTCAGTTATCTGTTTCTGAGTAATAAGCAATCTAAGCATAGTAACTTAAAATAACCGTTGTCATTTATTTGCTGCTTATGATTATGCGGCTGGGCAGTGCTTGGAGGGAGTATCTTACTTCTGTTCCACGTGACATCGGCTGGGGCGGCTGGCCTGGAGTTGGGGAGTCCCCTCCCCTGATGGCTCATCCATGTCACTGGCCGGTAGTTCCAGCTGTAGACTGGATGCTTAGTGGGGACTGTCAATCAGGGCTTCGGTCCTTCTGCACATGAGCGTGCAAGACCAAGCTGGCCAAGAGGACAAACTCCAGCGTGCAAGCGCATATCACGGGGTCCTGTTGTTGTCACACCCGCTAACATCCCATTGGCTATAGCAAGTCACATGACCAAGCCCAGCATCAGCGTGGGAAGGGCGCGAGTACACTGCGGTGTGCTGCTTTGGGGCCACGTGCCCCTGGGAACTCTAAAATTCTGTGATCCTGTGCTTGGTAACTGACTTGTTTCATCTTATTTCTGAAACATCGGGGTGCCAGGACTCTTGTACACAGTTTAATATGGTATAAACATTCAATAAGCGTGTATTGGGACCATGGAAAATATTGTAGCATTTCCACTTTTAATGTTTCTGAACGGCCTATGAAGGCTTACGCTCTCTAGCTTACCCACGGCTATAATGATCGCGTTCTAGTTAATGAAAGACGTGAACAGAAATCACCCTACAGGGTCAGATTTCTAAATATACCTTCGGAAGGAATTAAGTATCATCTTTTCCTTTAGGCTACCAGAAGTTAGCTGCCTTTTCCTTTTGATGTTAAAATAGCTGAAAATTAGCCTCTTTAACACCTGCCTGGACTTCAAAGAATAAAAGTGGGTGTTTATGTGATACCCAGACAGTGCATTCCTTGGAAATTCCAAACCCACAGGTTTCTTGTCCCAAGCTTGTCCTACCGTTCCCAAGCGCGTGGGAAAGAAGTGGCCCAGCCCGCCGGGCCCGTCCCGTGAGTCCTGAGTTGCGGCTGATAGAGTAACTTCGTTTCTTTTGCACGCAGGGGTTCTCTACCTCCAGTATGGAGATGAAACCAAGCAGCTCAGGATGCCGAACGAGATCACAAGCGCAGACACGATCCGGGCTCTCTTCGTAAGTGCCTTTCCCCAGCAGCTCACCATGAAAATGCTGGAGTCGCCCAGTGTCGCCATTTACATCAAAGACGAAAGCAGAAATGTCTATTATGAATTAAATGATGTAAGGTAAGTCATCTTTTTGTTGTTGTTGTTCCATCCTATTGCATTTAGAGCTTTTTTGGTGGTGGGGGGGGCATTCACTGTGTTGCATTTAGGGGGTTTTTTTGGTCCACCATATTGTTTTGCTAGAGTTTGTACCGAGTCCTGAATTATCTGTGTCCCTGTGAAGACAACCCTGTCATTATCCTGATAGGCAGGCTTTCCTCGACCAGGTGCGAATTCGCTGTCTGGTTTTCTACACTTGGTTTACAAGGTGTAGTTTATAAAGATGAGGACAGACTTCTCCCACACAAGTCTTTGAATGTTACATCTGAAAAGAACATTGGAAATATTTCAGTCCACCATTTTATCTAAGAGTTAGGGAAACTAAGGCCCAGAGAGGTGGTGGAGAGACCCGGTCAAGTTCATGAGACTCGAAAGCAGTACTTCATACTAGAACATTCCCTCGTACCTCTCAAGTATTCTTTCCCCCATAGATAGAGCCCATGGACATTTTAGGTCATGATCCTACTGGGTCATTATTTATACCTAACCAGTTAGAATAAAAGCAGGGAACTCTGTATTATTTTCCGTAAGAAAAGTGACTGAGAAGCGTTCTCATGTTCTATTTGTTTCTGGAATAGTTGTTCTTTACCCAAGGATCTCACTCTCCAGGTGGGCTTTCTCCAAGGCTTCCGGATGAATGTCCACTACGGTTGAATGTCCACTACGAATGAGCTAAATGGATGCATGCCATTGCAATTGGCATAGAAACAAAAGCTTTTTTATTGACTATTGTGGTGTCATGCACAGAGCAGAAGGGACCCATTTGATCTGTCCCAGCAAACAACCTGTGAAACAGGACTTAAATCAACACACCTAAGCAGTGGCTAGTTTAGCCTCCAATCATTTGAGAACTCCAAAGATTGTTTAGTGACTAATCTAGCCCTTTGATTTTATGGAATCAGAATCTCAAATGCATAAAAGTTAAGGGACTAATCCAAAAGCACACAGGCAATTCAGTACCAAGTCCAGCCCCAAGCTGCTCAAGACCTTAAAATGTTCCTTCACCAAATCACTGGGGACAAGACTTGGGGTTTCTGGGTCCCTGCCCTGTGGGACAGCAATCTGCCCTGTTTCTTCAGTGTGGAATTAATGGGTCTTGCTTTTTCAAATGTGCCTCCAGCGCATAATAAATGTAAACTGATAAACATCTACCAGTGATCACAAATGACATATTCAGGCATGTGTCCAGGCGTGTGAGTAATTTGGAGCTTTCAAAGTTTGACACATGCCCCAAGGTATAGTTGCCACATCTGTTGCACAAACTTCATGCTCTTTAAAAACATGTTTAAATATTCATGGGTATCCGAAAATTCATGTTTGCTTTTGAAATAAATTATTAATCAAGCTGTCACCAAAAGAAATTTTTTTTTGCATTTATAATAACACAAAGGGTAGACGTGAAACATGAAATAATCACATTATATTTAAAGAGTGTGTTTGCAGTAATATGATCCCACGTAGGGTTTTTACGTGGAGATGCTGTTTTACAGCAATCATCTTATATTTCTGCATTTGCAGTTAGAGGAAGTGAGAGACACAGTGATAATAAGTAAGCATGAAGCTAAGCAAAGCCACAGTTGATTACGGAGCTCAAGGCTGACAAGGTTATTATGAATAATTGGACCCCACTGTCTTGCAGCCTGTGCTAGGATTTTCATATTACAATGAATCACCTTTTTCTAGAGCATTTCCCAAACCTCAAAGTATGACTCCTTTGACTTCCTTTTTGCCTTCTTTGGGAATGTTAAGAAGTAGTCCCAAAGAGAAAATTAGAAGGTAGGACAAGGAGGGAAGGCCAGAGTCTTCCTCGGTGGAAATCCAGTTGATCAAATAGTTGAAAGCAACACTCGAGAGAAGAGATGATCACTTTACAAACTAATAATTCTCAGTTGATGTGCTTATATTTGCGAAAATGATGATCTTGTTGATCCTTAAGATGTAGTACTGGTAGCCTTATTTTTTAAAATGTGATTTAAAATGTGTAAGTAGAAACTCACTGATCTATACATTTGTCTGTAATTTTACTTTTCAGTTATTTTGATTCAAATCTAAAAAATATGGAGCTAAAAATGTTCAGGTGGAGAAAATGCTTTTATTCGGTCATGAATATGATGTTTGTGCTCAATGAACAAAGTGCACATCCTTTCCAAAGAATTGTTCTATGCTTTTGCTTTTATGCAGAAAATGCCTCAATTATATTTCATTTGAATGGTAGAAAAAGTTCTCAGCACCAGCATTCTATAGGACAAAAATAAGTATCGTGTAGGTTTTAACTGAAGACAATGACTTTAATCTTCTAAATTCAGGAACAAATTTCATTTCCCATCCTTCAGTGTTTTTGAATCGAGAGGCTATTTGCTAAACATTTGGCTATCTCATCATTGTGCCGGGTTCCTCGAATTTCCTTTAGGGAAATGCTACAGTGTGTTGTCAATGTTGCCAGGGTAAATGCAATCCGAGCTTTTATTGTTAGTTCATCTCAGATGAACACATCTCTAAAGAAATCATAAACCAACCTCCTGTATTCTAAATACCTTTAAAGTCACAGTAAGTCTTCAGTGAGGTTTTGTTTTTTTTCCTGTCCTCACCTGTGACTTCTCCTCTAGCCAAAAGTTGAGTTCCTTTAGTGAATCCCCACGTTTTTACCTCTGCAAGTTTCCCCTTCATATTAACCCAACCCCTGTTAATAACAAGGGCTGCAGGGCTCTCCCTCGAGCAGACTTCTAAGGAGCTGCCTGCAATCTGCAGCAACCGTGCAAGCTTGGGCTAGTCCTTGCTTCAAAGCAATTACTGGCAGTTATTTAAAGGAGAGAAACAAGACTAGTCTAAGAATCCTCTACTTGTTTTAAAACAACAACACACCTAATAATCCCAGCAATTGGGTCAGCCCACGAATCGTGGTTGCACCTGGAGGAAAAGGAATTCCTCCTCCTGCACACGTTTCTCTGAGCCACGTGGAAAGGGATCACAGTGTCAGGGGTCCTCAAACGTTTTAAACAGGGGGCCAGTTCATTGTCCCTCAGACCACTGGAGGGTCGTTGGAGAGTGCGGCGCACATTCCACACATGCGCACTGTGGGCCTGGGACCAGTCGGCTGCTAAGCAGGACAGCCAGCGGTGGCACCAGCTGGCTGGATAAATGTCCTTGGCGGGCCGCATGGGGCCCGCAGGCCGTAGTTTGAGGACCCCTGGTAGATGGAGTGAAAAGGGCCGTGGGGGGCCCCTCTGCTGGTGAAAGGTGAACGTGGAGGGAGAAGGACTTCCTAGACATTCACGTGCTTATTTTAAGGTAATTTAATTTATTTATTAATAATTTGATTATTTTAAGGTAAACTCTGAGCAAAGGTGGGACTCTTTTGCTGCAGTCTGACTCCTTGTCTCTAAGAGCTGGGCTTAGAAGGGAAGAAAAGAATCTATCTGCTTTTATTCCTTCATGACCAGTAATTCAGTTTATATGTAGAAAAAGTATTTTTTCCTAAATCCACTATGGAAGGGAAAAAAAGGGCATGGTAAAGATATTAGTTTTGATCTTTGGGGTCCTTTTTTTTTCTTTTCTGGACTGCAGATACATTTTCTTTCTCTTGCTGAAAGTGTTTGAAGGCAAAAAAAAAAAAAAAGAAACAAAAAAAGCATTTTTCTTTTGTGTGTATTCATTAGATAAGCAGCAAAGCAGGTGTTTGGGAAAAGTAAACCATCGAATATTTAAATATTAACCACATCTCTTTGAATGGATTGTAAATATTGGAGCTGTATTGTTTTTGAAAGCGTTAGCCTTCCACGCTCGGGACCTTCAAAGTTAGTTCTTTCCACCCGATGTAGGTGGATAGAGGATAATTGTTGCCTGAGGAACGAGAAAAGGGAAGGAAAGCCGAAGTCATTTTTCTTCTCCTTTTCCTTATTTGGGTTTGCCTGTCTTATGGTAAAAGAACTTTCCACTGGCTTATTGTAGACAACCCCTGGATTGTCGTTAAGGGTCCGACCGTAAGGGCAGGCGAAAGACATGGCCAGGGTGAAGCTCCTTTCGTCTGCTATAGTCATCGATGTTTTTGATTCCAGGAACATTCAAGACAGATCGCTCCTCAAAGTGTACAACAAGGACCCCGCCCATGCGTTTAATCACACACCAAAAACTATGAACGGAGACATGAGGGTAAGTGCCTGTGTCCTATTTTTTTTTATTTTATTCTGTGGATCAAACCATCTCTTCTTCTTCTTCCTTATACTCCTGATGGGATCATATCATACTCCACAGCCAGGTTTTGGGGGGTTCTCTCCATGCATCTCACTCTGTGGAGGAGTAGTAAGATTTCATGGTCATTTGGGGGAAAGGTACTGAAACCGGGCTGGACACATCCTACTTCATCTCTAAAGGAGGAGTTAGTCATGTCCTCATGCCAAGGGAATCCTGAAAATCTTCACATAAAAGGGCCCAGGGTCCATAATACAATTACTTGCTCAGAAGACCTTTTCATTCTTTTCCCTCCTGTTAAAACAAAGCTACCATACAAACAAAAAAGTGTACGATTGCACGGAAAATCTATTCATGTTCTCACGTTAGTGATTTCTAATTCAGTTTCTCGCCTTCTAATTCTGGCCTTTTGCTCTATTGCACTGTATTAAATATTATCAAATCTTCCCTAAACCATGTTGAGGGAAGAATACGAAAATCTGCATGACTTGGGAGTTCAGTTCTCTAGATGTAGATCATCTCGGGAGATTATCCAAACTTTCAAAGCATAGAGGGGTGTTTGGAAGGAAAAAGAAGACGACATTGAAAAGGCAGATTTTAAGATCACATTAAAGTAGGGCCACTAGAAAGGGATTGAGTTTCTAAAAATAGTGCTACAGTCCCAGGTAGCAAAAATGGGAGGTAAGAAGATTAGCTTCTCAGTTGTATACCCTCTACACACACACACACACACACACACACACACACACACATTTAGAAGATTTTGCACCATTTTTTCTCATCTTGCCTGTGGATTAGCCCTCAGCTGAATGCTCAAGTTTAACTAGAAAATAAATAAATAAACTAGTAGGTTTTATTGCCAAAGAAACCCAGGCACTACTCTGCCCTGGAATTGTATTGTTCCTGAATGAGGCTGTCTCTGCTTCCTGACAACGTGTATGAGTTTCCTATTGTCGCTGTAACAATTTAGGATGAATTTAGTGATTCAAGGCTCAAAACAATACAGATTTACTATCTTACTTATGGTTCTAGAATCTGTAGACTGTCACAGGTCTCACTGATCTGAAATAAGGGGTCAAGGCTGGGCTGCCTTCTCTTCTGGAGGCTTCTAGAGAGAATCTGTTTCCTAACCCGCCCCTCCCCCAGCTTCTGGAGGTCACCCCATTTCTTGGTTTGTAGTTCCCTTCCTCTGTCTTCAAACCCAGCACAATAGCATCCTTCTGACCCTGCTTCTATGGTCACATCTCTAAGCCTCCCTTATCCACTTTTAAGGACCCTTGTGATTACATTGGGCCTACCCAGTACTCTAGAAAAATCTCCCTATTTTAAGGCTGGTGGATTAGCAATCTTTAATCTCCCTTTTCTACGGAACCGCTAAGGTACTCACAGGTTTAGGGGATTATGATGCAGACATCTTTAGGGGACCATGGCTCTGCATTCTACACAGGGTGTGTGAGTTTAGGACCAAGGAAGAGGCCAGGAGGTCCACTGGAATGTGCTAGAAGGATCTAGAATGATCTCTGTGTGACTCCAGACTGGAATAGCTGTGTTGACATTGTGGGATCCCAGCCCACGCTTTGGAGGAAAAGGCATCTCACGTACTCAACTGCTGCTTTTGTATGTCACAAGTGATGTGTGATTTGAAGTGACGGCTGTGTTACCACTTCAAAAACATACAGAGTCAGAGGCTTATTTATCTGGTTTCCCTCTAGATGTAAACCCAAGCCACGTGAAGACAGATCAGGTCGTGCCAGTCATGAAGCAGGGCCCAATTGCGATGGCACCCTCTGCCTTTTATTGCTTGGTTATCCTGTTTCTCAGTAGAGTTTGTGAGAGTCTTTTTTTTTTTTTGAGACAGAGTCTCACTTTTTTGCCCAGGCTAGAGTGAGTGCCTTGTCAGCCTAGCTCACAGCAACCTCAAACTCCTGGGCTCAAGCGATCCTCCTGCGTCAGCCTCCCGAGTAGCTGGACTACAGACATGCACCACCACGCCCGGCTAATTTTTTCTATACATATTAGTTGGCCAATTAATTTCTTTGTATTTATAGTAGAGACAGGGTCTTGCTCTTGCTCAGGCTGGTTTCGAACTCCTGACCTTGAGCCATCCACCCGCCTCGGCCTCCCAGAGTGCTAGGATTACAGGCGTGAGCCACCACGCCTGGCCAGCATTCATGAGAGTCTTTGTTCCCTGGGATGTCTTTATTTTGGGATACGTCCCTCCTTCGGGCTGGACTGGAGTTCCGTGTCTGTCACTCCGGGCCATTTCCATAGAGGTGCCCCAGCACCGCCTCGGGGGTCCTGTCTGTGGCTGGGAAGGACACCTGCTTTAGCTCACAAGCAAGCGTGGCGCCTCCACGGAGACCAGGGTGAGGATGGAGAGAGTCGAATATTAACCCTGTGAACACAGCCGATTAGAATGCAGAGCTTGTGCTGTGGGTCTCAGCAAAGTCGTTCTGGTTTTACTCTAAGATGACACCCTCGTGGTCACTTTCAGAGTTCCCCAGGCCCCACCAGTTTGTCTGTGTGAGAAAAGCAACCCTGTCCCCAGAGGAGGGGACAACAAATGGTCATCATGTACCCAACAGAAAAGCTTTTATGTCTCAGTGTAGACAACTTAGAAATAGAAGGTGGTTTCAAAACCAGCTAGGTGTGATCCTGCCTGCAGTTTGCAACTTGGTGCCAATTCGAGGATTCCAGACACTAAAAGGCGTGGAATTCATTTGGCCTCACCTTTTGGCTCTGGAGGTTGGAATTCTTTCTCCTTTCCTGATGCATGTGGCTGCATTGCCGTTAAAGGACAGGACGTTTGGGTGATCTCTGCCGGGAGCCCAGCTGCAGAAGGGTCCGTGGTTCACGGCCAGGAACAGAATGACGGACCCGGCAGCCAGGCATTGATTGCTCGTAGCGACCTAAACCCACGACTCCCGTGTGCTTGCACGTGACCGTGGCCCAGCGACGAATTCAGGTGACCGATTTGCCTGAGACGCTCACTGCAGCCCGACGTCAGACCTCACTCCTCAGCCTCCAGGGAACACCTGGGTCAGACCCCACACCTGTCACTCACATACCGCGCATAACAGCAGCATCACATGAAAAACATTGGCTGGGACAAGGCGGAGTGGGCAACAACCCACCACACCGAGCGATCGTGGGCCGCTCTGGAGCACCCTTAAGGCAGGGGGGTCTCAAACTCTTCTAGTTCATTGATTGAGTTGATTGAGACAGGAGTCTCACCTTTGTTGGGCCAGGCTAGAAGTGATGGTGGTCCCTAGGCCACCGATGCAACCTCAACTCCTGGGCTCCAGCGATTCTGCCTGGCCCTCACTCGACGTAGCTGGACGACAGCATGCGCACCGATGCCGCGGCTAATTCTTTGTATAAGTATCACCGTTTGTTTGCTGGGTCAATTAATTTCTTTCTATTTTTGATAGAGACGGTGTCTCGCTCAGGCTGGTTTGGACCTCAAGCAATCCGCCCGCCTAGGCCTCCCAGAGTGCCAGGATTACAGGCGTGAGCCACTGCACCCAGCCACATATCTTATTTTGAAGTAAAAAAACAAATGAGCCAAAACACCCACATGTGGCCCGAGGGCAGTAATTTGAGGACGCCTGCCTTAAACAATGCATTTAAAATCTTGCCTTGGAAAGAAAAGAAAATGCAAGACTCTATATCTAAAACTGGGGGTCGGTTGTCCCAGAGCGGTTTTATGGTGGGAAGGTTTTATGGTGGGAATGGCTTTAGACTGGGCCTCCGGGCGCACGTGGAATGGACGTAGGTGTGGAGGACGTGTGTGTGGTCTTTCACTTAGCACCTAGCTGAGCACTTGTTTTGAGGCTCATCGGACTCATGAGACTTGTGGTTCTCGCCTGCATGTCACCCTGGTCTGATTTAATCATGTGGCTTTTGTTATGGAACAGGCCCTTTTGCAAAATTGATGTGTGTACTCACAGGGTTTCTGATGCCCAAACGCACAACTCAAAGATGAACCATTGCATTTTGTGGCTCTCAGAGGGTATACTTTTCTCATACCAACAGTTTGTTGAAGGAGTCGGACAGTTGTCCTGTTTTAAGGGTGACTTCCTTTTCAGCAAACCCGGTGGGTTTTTCATAGTTTGGGGGCTTCCCCACCTTCTTGTGTGCTTTTGAGATTACATCCCAAGAATCTCTGTTCTCATCATTGAATACTGTCCCTCTTCTCTCCTCCCCTTAATTTTACTTCTATGTCTTTAATTTTCACTTGTATGCAGACAATTGCCAGATTTGCATTTTGAACCCACTCCCTGAGTTGGCCCTGCTTCTCCAATGACAGCCGCCTCCCAGCCCCCTCCCGTGCAGCTCTGCGGTTGACGCTGTCACTTGTCTCCCCTGAAACCACGGGCTCACACCGCACCCCGTGTCTACGTCAAACACGCCTCAGCCTCCCTCATTCACTAACTCCTTTCTCTTGCCCTCTCCGTGGTCTTCAGTGTGTTCCAGCTGGCTTTACCAGTTTGGAGTTTGGCTTTCTTTGTTTTGATCTTTTTTATCTGAACGTTGCACTTGAGATTTTTACCTTACTGCTAATTTAACTATTAATGTGGATGATGCTTGAAACTATATCTTTAGCCCTACCATATCTAGAATCCAAGACCCAAATGCCCCTCTTCTTTCTTTCTTTTAAGAGACAGGGTCTTGCTATGTCTCCCAGGCTAGAGTGTAGTGACATCGTCATGGCTCACTGAAGCCTCCAACTCCTGGGCTCACGCAATCCTCCCCCCTCAGCCTCCCATCTAACTGGGACTATAGGTGCGCTCCACCAGGCCCAGCTGATTTTTTATGTTTTGTAGATACAGGGTCTCACTATGCTGCCCAGGCTGGTCTTGAACTCCTGGGGTCAAGCGATCCTACCTGCCTCAGCCTCCCACAAATGTCCAACTTCTCAGTGGCTGTCTTCACATGGATATTTTAGTGTTTCCAGTGTA